TACCACACTTTAATTCTGTCGAAAATAATCCCCTTGGTACCAAGGAAATTTGTGCAGAACATAAACTTATTGTTCGGTTTGGGAAATGATGAGGATATTCCATAATAACTGAAAATAGAAGGAGTAGGTTCCATAATTTTCATAATAAAATGACTAATTGAGGTTCCATAATAAAATAAGTATAACAATGAAGAAGTTTTGAAATGAAAGAAGTGTTAAAATATAACATGTACGTATCTTGATGAAACGTGTATTGCAATGAAACATTTATTACAATGAAACCACTATTGCAATAAAACTAGTGTTACAATGAAATTAGTCTTACAGTGAAACAAGTATCACAATCAAGAAAGTATCACAGTGTAACAAGTACTAAAACGAAACGAGTGTTGCCAATGAAGGAATATTATAACCTGGTATAATCACAGAAATGAATGAGAATATTTAGTAGGATGTCAGTGTATCGCTCTAATAAGACACTCTAATAAGACGCTCTAATAATACGTTAAAGTAGTAGTTTTAATTAATTTAATTGTCGGTCTGGCCTTTCGTCCGCTCTCTGCTCTTGCTGTGGGTAAAGCTTTTGTCACTATTTGGACTATTCGACACGTTCATTTTTCTGAATGCAAATGAAACGGCAAAAGAACGTTCAAAACTCCACTCTAATCTTCAATTTCGACGCTGTGCCATTCAAGAAATGCATTGATTCACGGCCTCAATATGCAATCGTTTCCTTCGTTAGTACTGCATGTCAGCGCTCGTTTCGAAATGCAAGCCTATATACAGACGCCTAATTTACAGCGACATTGCCAGCCTTCGCTACCGATCATAATTACAATTAAACTTCGTTGATTGCTCTACGTCACCAGAATCTTTTTTTGGCTGTGCCTCATGCACGCTTTATTTGCTGTCTGGTCTTTGCGTTTCAGTGTCCACTAATTTTTTTACTCCGAAACTTTGAAAAACTCATATCCCCACTCCGAAGGAAATGAGTTAGACTTTGTCCAAGTCGCGATGCACTTTTTGCACTTGTGTTGGTCATTTTGACCCAGTTTTGCCCCACATAGGGACGTATCAGTGCTACGTGTGCTCTGTGTGTATGGGCAAGAAAATGTATCACTATTTGAACAATATGACCCATGCAGTTTTCTTAGTGTGCAGGCTGTTATATGTCTCGATAATTGAAGGCTTTCTGAGGTCAACTTCTGTTTAGTCTCAGCGTTTCGATGTATAGGATATCAATTCTCTATATAATTCAACTTTTCTCTTTAACTACCAGTTGGTAGTTTGCCAGCTTAACGACGCTCATTTTTAATCTCATTTCTATTACCAGTTGGTAGTTTGCCAGCTTAACGACGCTCATTTTTAATCTCATTTCTATTATATTTTAATTACATCTGTGAAAATGTATTCAATTTCGATCCATCTACCCACTAATTTAGTTTGAATTGAAGCGCATATTGCGTCTAGTTTTTAGTGGAACTTTTTTTCCTTTCTGTTATGAATCAAGTTAATTTCAGGTGCATTTTCCTTACCTATTTCATCACTGTGAGCTGACATCAGACGACGATGTGGGTAATGATGCAGATTAGCGTGGGTCACACGTTAGAACGAGCTTTTTAGTGAATCATGTAAAACGAAATAACCAAATACTAAACGATTGATATATTATGAAGCAACGTTCAGCATTGGTATAGCTGCCATTGATAAAAGTTAATGCATGATGTGACAGCGGCTGCGATCAGTGGCGAAAGATCGGACGTTGCCCTCGTTTTGACAGCATGGCTGCGTTTTTGGGCTTTTATTCAATATGGCATATCATATATTTCTCTATGACTTGTCAGAGATATACTCGCATATTGATTATTAGGCTTTGCTTCTATGAATTTTTCTGACATATTCTTCAGTTTTTATTTCACCATGCCAATACTCTATTGCTGCCTTTGTCCAACTTTCCAGCACTTGTAGAACAGATGCAGACAGAAGCAGAACAGATTCTACTTCTACTACTTCTACTTCTAGTACTTCTACTTCTACTACTTTTACTTCTTCTACTTCTACTTCTATTTCTACTACTTCTACTACTTCTACTTCTACTACTTCTACTTCTACTACTTCTACTTCTACTACTTCTATTTCTTCTCCTACTACTTCTACTTCAAAGCCTACTTCATGTATCTACATTTGTCACATTTCCCAATATCATTTCTGCGTTTTTCGTTTATATTTGTTTACCCCTTTCATCTGTCGTCATTTCTACATCATTTTCAGCGGTATGTTCTCCCAGACACTGAGCGTGCCATCACAAGTTACTGCAGAGCTCGTCCTCTTCTCGCGCTCTTCGTCCGCAGCTCGTAGGCTGAATAGACGACCATTCTTCTCTGCACCACAAATGATGCACCTTTTTGCGTCTTTTACGTCGTTTTTGCTTTTTTACGTCTTTTTTTACATCTTTTTGAGTCCTGGTCTCAAAGGAATAGCATCCTCGGGTCCGCGCGTTCTCAGAACTACCCTCAGAGAAAAAAATGGGTCCATTTGTGCAAATACTGACACACCTTTACTCACAGCACTAGCAGGGAGTAGATATTGCGCTGATACATCCTCTTGCCTAACCAAACTGGGTTAGGATGACTCACACAAGGTCAAAATGTACATGTATTTTTGTACAATGTATCGCTCATATTTATGAGTGTATCGCTTCTAGGACGAGCACTCCCCATGGCCACCATCCTACACATCATTTATTTCCGACTGGAACAAAATAAACATAATATTACCGACCAATGTTTATGCTTAATAATATACATAATATTTCCGAGCAATATAATATAGTTCTTTGACTTGCAGCTAATATTTGTACGCTCGAACATTTCCTTTAAATATATTGCTAATTACTATTTAGTTTAATTAGATTATTATTTATGATTTCGTTTAATTATATTATTAATTATTATTTCTTTCAATACATTCTCTGCATTATTGCAATCATAACTTATTTTTTTCCTAACTATCTTTTCCCTATTTTTTTTTTCGTCCGACTGCACCGTCTAGTTTTCCCAGTGATGTCCTGGCAGCGACGGAGTTTCCCGACTTGCAAAGCAAATATATTTTTTTTCGGTGCAAATATATTTTTTTTCGGTGCAAATATATTTTTTTCGGAGGCGCAACATTTCTTGCAGAATATTAGCGTATTTGTCGGCGCCTGCAGCACATTTCTTGCTGTAATCCATCCGAGTTTTTCGTATGGCACCGCAGCAACATCGCTGAATATTCATGCCATGAAAATGTATGCTAAACGCAGCATTTATTTTCATCGATCAAGTGCATTGTAGGAATATTTTCTGCATAAATATGATAGAATGATTCTTGTTATCAATAGATATTTTATTGTAATATTTTTCTCATATTTGACTTTCAATCAAAGTTGTTTATAACAATAAAAACCCATCCGCTATATATATGTACCGCATCATTAACATTTTTGGAAATTAGTGTCTCAATAGAGCGATACTCTGGCATATATCTTAATGCTTTCTTAATTAAAATATAGCCTACTTATTAGAAATATTAATTTCTTGCACAATTGATGGGAAATGTGGCACAAACGTGGGTTTACGCCGGAGCTCCATGCATGTGTCTTGTGTTGTGTTAAGCGTCATGAATTGTGTTATTATGAATTGTGTTGAATTATTGTGTTTTTGCCGTAAATGAATTCAAATGAAGCAGTGAATAATCATTTCGAATTAACTACAGACTACATAATTAGTTTGAAATAGATTCATATTTTATTGACTTGTTTCTTGCGATTTTTTAGCGTTCTTTGTACGGGGAAAAAGGTCGAGTACGGATTTTTATTCTCATTTCTGTTAAGTATCTTCATTGAGCAATAGGAATCTATAGTTCACGCTGCACCCTTCTTTCTTTTCATTAATTGAGAGATGAAATGTTTAGTTCACAGTGATGAGTTTCTTCCTGTTGAAATTCATTGGCGAGACTCAAGAGCCAATAGCCTACAGGTCAACCTGAACAAAAAATTCTACCCTTAAATCAACGTTGAACTAAGAATTGTTGCTTGGCTGAATCAACGATAGTTCAACGTTGTTTGCGTTAATTCAACGTCATTTGCCGGCGGTGGTAACTGCTTAAAGGAGGCCCTCCCAAAAAGCGCCAAGTTTGTACAGTTCGCATGAATAGTTCAGTTCTCATCGTCATCTGAATTATTCAGAAGCCGTCTATGCGAACACAGTTTAGGAAAAGGCGGATTATCGCTGGCAAAGTCTCGTAAATTTTACTATACACATAATTTCGTGGCTGGTAACAACTTCATTCTCGATTTAGCGTCTGGTAAATTCCAAATTGTTTGCTTGCAGAAACAATTATATTTTTTAATCGTTTGCTAATTAATTATTGAATAATGTATTTGGCTTGAAAAAATATTTATTAGATCAAGTTTTTATTATTGTACCGAGTTGTTTGAATATATACATTCCTAATCTATATTTATAATTCATTTTTGTACCTTTTTATTAGATTGCATTTAATATCACTTCATAATTCATGTTCTTATTTTGTACCGGGATATAAGCTTGTTCGTGATATTATAATTAATAATTCAGTTCCTATTATTCTTGGTCCTTGCCCCGGCAGGAGCGTTCGGTCGAAAACTGAATTTATAATTTAAATTTTTAATTTTATACAGTGTTATTTCCTTGTTATATACATCACTTCGTAATTCAACTTTTGATTTTATTATTTGTCTCTTCCACAACATGGCGTTAGACCGATAGCTGAATTTACAATGTAAGTTTTTAATTTTGTTTGGTCTTGTTATTAACATGACTTTGTAATTTAGGTTTTAATTTTATTAATTGCCTCTCCTCTAAAAGGGCCTTAGGTCGATAGCTGAATTTATAATGTAAATTTTTAATTTTGTACAGTCTTGTTATTAACATGACTTCGTAATTTAGGTTTTAACTTTATTATTTGTCTCCCCTGACCAGGGCGTGCGGTCAGAGAACGACGCGGGCCCTTGCGTGTCAGAGGGAAGCCCTTGCCAGAACGGCGGCCGCTGCGTCGCTGACCCCTCACGACCCACGGGCCGAGGGTGCGAGTGCTCCTACACCGACCACGAGGGGGAGTACTGTGAGAAGGGTGAGTGTGAGGGGGAGTACTGTGAGAAGGGTGAGTGTGAGGGAGACTACTGTGAGAAGGGTGAGTGTGAGGGTGTGAGTGTGAGGGGGAGTACTGCGAGAAGGGTGAGTGTGAGGGAGACTACTGCGAGAAGGGTGAGGGTGAGGGAGAGTACTGCGAGAAGGGTGAGTGTGAGGGGGAGTACTGCGAGAAGGGTGAGTGTGAGGGAGACTACTGTGAGAAGGGTGAGTGTGTGGGAGAGTACTGCGAGAAGGGTGAGTGTGAGGGGGACTACTGCGAGAAGGGTGAGTGTGAGGGAGAGTACTGCGAGAAGGGTGAGTGTGAGGGAGACTACTGTGAGAAGGGTGAGTGTGAGGGGGACTACTGCGAGAAGGGTGAGTGTGAGGGGGACTACTGTGAGAAGGGTGAGTGTGAGGGAGAGTACTGTGAGAAGGGTGAGTTTCCCCAATTCCCCTCAGCTCTACTTTTCCCCCTCTCCCTTCTCTCCATTCTCTCCTCCCTCTCCATCTTCCCCCTCCTCTCTTCCCTTCTTTTCACCCTCTCCCTCCTCTCCCCCATCTCCCCCACATCTTAGCGTCTCTGTACGGCCGTCAACGCAAGTTTTTTCATTTCGTTGGCTGATGTGACGAGCGCTGAATACATCGTGTAGCCGCTGCCTCAGCCTCGTGTAGCCGCTGCCTCAGCCTCCTGTAGCCGCTGCCTCGGCCTCGTGTAGCCGCTGAGATTATGAAAATGCCCATTTTTGCCCCATACAAACGAAATTTTTCTTGATTGAAACTCTCTAGATAAACTTTTTCCTTGTTGAAATTTTGAGCTGTTGCGAGACTCGAATTTCAAAACCGAAATAATTAACAATTACCAACCCCCGTTTGTCTCAGAGATAATCAATAGATAAATCGCCGACAAGAATTTGGCCTCAAAAATAATCCACAGATGAAGCGTCGGCAAGAAGTTTTCCGTAAAAATAATCAACAGAAGGAAGCGTCGGCAAGAAGTTTGCCGCAGAAATTATCGACAGATGGAAGCGTTGACAAGATGTTCGCTGCAGAAATAATCAAAAGATGAAAGCGTTGGGAAGAAGTTTACCGCAGAAATTATCAACAGATGAAACGCCGGCAAGAAGTTTGCCGCAGAAATAATCAACAGATGAAGCGCCGGCAAGAAGCTCGCCGCAGAAATAATCAACAGATGAAGCGCCGGCAAGAAGTTTGCCGCAGAAATAATCAACAGATAAAGCTGCGGAAAGAAGTTTGCCGCAGAAATAATCAACAGATGAAGCGCCGGCAAGAAGTTCGCCGCTGAAATAATCAACAGATGAAGCGCCGGCAAGAAGTTCGCCGCTGAAATAATCAACAGATGAAGCGCCGGCAAGAAGTTCGCCGCAGAAATAATCAACAGATGAAGCGCCGGCAAGAAGTTTGCCGCATTATCTGCAGCGTCACGGCCGCAGTTTGTTGACAGCCGGCAACGTTATCGGCATTGAGAAGCCACCGCTCGTTTTTATTCTCCGTCTCCGGTTTTATTTAAAGAAAAAGTTTCAAAGTCCCGCCTCTATCTTCTATCCTCAGTATTTTTCTTGTGATTTAAATTATTAATTTTTGTTTTACTGTCTCTTCCTGACTCGAGTAAGTTCTTTATGACGCACGTTCTATCATGGAAACACAAGCACCAGTGGTCTTTTTTGCTAGCTTTTTAAATTTATTTACATTCAAATAAATTCGCTTCAAAATAGTTTTCATGTAAATCTATTTTCACCTGATAGCAATAAAGCTTTTAGGTCTAATCCAGTCTGATCCACATATTAATTCATACGAAGTGTTAATTCTCTAAATAACACTTACGGTTTTCCTTTCAATAATACTCTCTCTGGAATATGTCCAGTCAAACGAAAATAGCTACGTTAACAACTGTTCAACGTCACAGTTTATGTATCACGCAAGAAATCTTGTCTTTTATCGTGGTGAGTCAATCGCCGTCAACGCGCAATCTGTCTTTTTCTGAGTTTCATTAATCGTTCTCGATGGGATATTTTCCCCGAGTTCCGTTTACCACTCCCGAGTCGCAGTTGATTTTCTCCCAAGTTTCGTCAACCACTCCCGAGTCATAATTGGTGCTCTCCCGAGTTCCATCAACCACTCCCGAGTCACTGTTGGTCGTCTCCAAGTTCCGTCAACCACTCCCGAGTCACTGTTGGTCTTCTCCCAAGTTCCGTCAACCACTCCCGAGTCACAGTTGGTCTTCTCCCAAGTTCTGTCAACCACTCCCGAGTCACACTTGGTCTTCTCCCAAGTTCCTGTCTCTTATACACATCTAGATGTGTATAAGAGACAGGCTTTGACGCCCGAGTCATGTTGCTTTGACGCCCGAGTCATGTTGCTTTGATGCCCGAGTCATGTTGCTTTGATGCCCGAGTCGTGTTGCTTTAACGCCCGAGTCATGTTGCTTTGACGCCCGAGTCATGTTGCTTTGATGCCCGAGTCGTGTTGCTTTGATGCCCGAGTCATGTTGCTTTGACGCCCGAGTCATGTTGCTTTGACGCCCGAGTCGTGTTGCTTTGATGCTCGAGTCGTGTTGCTTTGATGCCTGAGTTGTGTTGCTTTGACGCCCGAGTTGTGTTGCTTTGACGCCCGAGTTGTGTTGCTTTGACGCCCGAGTCATGTTGCTTTGACGCCCGAGTTGTGTTGCTTTGACGCCCGAGTTGTGCTGCTTTGACGCCCGAGTTGTGCTATCTCTTGTGTTGGTTGTGTCAGGTTTGTACAACGAAGCAGTGAATGTCGTACAGCGCCATGCTGCATACGAAGTTCGTAACTTACGAATCAACATATCTATTATACTCTCCCCTACAAAGACATCCTTGTGTGCCGTGCAGCTAATATTTGCTCGTCTCCCCCTTCATCATGACGGGTGTGTTAGACTTGAACGCATCTCTAACACCGTAGAGCTTAGCAGCGGGGCGATGAAGGGACTTAAAGAAGATAAAAAAATATATAGGAGATTTGTCGCTTTACTAGGAATAGAATGGTAAAATATGCGTAGATAGAAAGAGACAACGGGAGGAATGGGAAAACTGTAGATTTGTTTGGAGAAAAGGTGGATGGGTAAAAATTGAATGGAAAAATGTAAAGTCCAGAAGTAAGTGGAAATGAAATTCGAACATCGCTTAATTTGATGGAGTGAAAAAGAGAAGAGAAGATGCGACGAGAGAAATGAACTAGAGAAAAATAGGAGACCACCGTGAAAAAGATGAGGTGACAGATGTTGATAAAAAAACTGTAACTTATTTGCAGTATGGTAATACTGGCTGACTTACCAACAAGTAGAAATTAGTAAAACAAGAAGTAGTGAGAAATTTAGGATCCTGTAAGCAGTTGATATTTTCTGAGGCAGTGAAAAAAAAACAATATATTTATTTCATACGTGAATATATCGAATAAGCTAGTGATGGAATGTTAAAAATAAGTTATAAGAAGTTATAGAGCATATTATCTTACTATCAAATATGGCATTGATTGATGAAGTAAGTATGATCGAAAGCTTTTTGTGGTAACAATCTGCCGTCATGGTGCCGACCAAATGCAGCAAGTCTACGGAGGTCACTAACACAATTTCGCGGTCACAATCCACCTTCTAACGAACTCCAATTGAATCAAGGTAAGGCCATTGCACTTGTCATCTGGAAGTCGATAGCGAGGCCCCCGTCTGCCAGTTATCCTAGTCGGAATGAAGAGATGAACATCTCCGAATATCCATGCATGTTATAGTGATCAAAATAAAGCAAATAATAACAATGTTACGCGCAAGATATGGAATATTGATGAAGTGTCATGCATCATCAAGCTTTTTGAATTTTTTGAAAAAAATTGGATTTTGATTGTTTCTAAATAAGAATATTTTATCTTATTTGGCCGATGGTATTAGACTTGTGATTATTCATTGTGTAAAGTGCCCTCGAAGTTTTGTTAAACCAGACGTCACGATAATTGCTTTACAGTATAATAATAATAATAATGCTAATAATAATTCTGATGAATAATTAAATAAATACGCCAGCGTGAGGGGTGTGTGGTGCGTGAGGGGTGAGTAGGTGGTGCGTAAGAGTGAGTGGTGCGTGAGGGGTGAGTGGTGCGTGAGGAAGAGTGGTGCGTGAGGGGTGAGTGGTGTTGTGTTCTGTGCTTTCAATTGTATTAACTTGTGACTTTCTATGTAAATTCTAGATTCTACGAACTGACGATGGAGCTGGACTCCGAAACGTTTTCTATAAAGATACGAATTTTTGTGGACTGTTCTTTGCTTTTAAAGTTTTAATCTTCTCCCAAGTTCCGTCAACCACTCCCGAGTCACAGTTGGTCTTCTCCCGAGTTTCATATACCATTCTCAAGTCACAGTCAGTTTCTTACCGCACACGCTCCCCTGTCCCATCAGTCCCCCTAAACGTCCACCCGACAGTCGTGCAAGTCCCTAATCCATATAAGATTTCTACGGCAGACGTGTTCGAAATTCTTATTAAACTCTGGTCTCGTATGTAGATCTCTACATTTTATTTAGAGATTTTATTCGCCAGACTTGAAGGCTGGGTGCAGTAGCGGCTTGCATATGACAAGGTATTCTGACCGTTTATGTTCTTATATATGTGATGATATCTTATTTTGAGTGCAGGAATTACTTTTGCTAAGTTAATTTCAGGAATTATTCATGTTAAGTTAAGTGCAGGAATTAAATTTGCTAAGTTAAGTGCTGGAATTATTTAAGTTAAGTTAAGTGCAGGAATTACGGTTGCCAATTTGAGTGCAGGAATTAATGTCGCTGCAGCGGCTTATAGTTGAGCTCAAATTCACTTTGATTTGATATATTTCCCCGTCCACTATGCGACATTTAAACACAATGGAACGGTTTGACATTTGCCAGAAATTTTCCGTTTGTTTCATTCATGGCTTTATTTAGTTGCACTGAAATTATGAAAACTTTATGATGAATTTTCACCATGTAATAACAAGCTTTAAATAATACTCATATTTTTCATACGCGTCATTGAATGCTTCGTATTCACTCAGAAGAAGGGGTATGTCATTTTAGCCAAATATTGACACTCTTTCTGCTCGTAGCACTGATACGTGCTTTTGCTATGGCGAACTAAGACAGAATGACATAGGTATAATGAGCATCGATATTTAGACAAAACCTCGCTTATTTCCCGGAGTGCACCGAGCCTACAAATGTTTCTCAAATGTCAATCGTTATTCATTTATTCACAAGATCAATCTTTCGGCCAAAAACTGTTCTCACACAAACAATAAAGCCAGCGATCGAGGCAGTAGCCATTTTAACGCGGTTGCCCTTATGCTTAGATGGCAGATCAAGAATCAATAATTGACGGTTATGTCAGACCTTTTATAAATCATATACAATTGGGTTACTACTATGTAATCTTCGTTCTTAATATTTTTTAACAAGTAAAGAAAATTTGGCATTCGTGTTTCAATAATTTAGACATGTTATTTATTGTGCTGCAATTGGCTCTTCTTTGACATCGCAGGCTATATAGATAAAAAATCCAAGCGTTTGAACCCAAAACTG